TGTTCTTTCACTTATCTAGTTTTTAGTATCTATTTATTTTACTTTTTTCATTTTAATAATTGAAACATTTTGCTTTAATATTGTTTATTTTTTATTGAGTTCTTGGCCATTTTATCTATGCCTTATTTAATTTTTTTTTATTTTATGTGTTAAATTGCGCTTTCACATGAAAAAAAGTGTGCGCTTCTCGCTTCACTGAAACGAGGCCTCCTCGCTTTTTTTCTGCTTCTTGAGTGGACGGGGCATGATGAGAACCCTGCGCTGGCAGTGCACTGAATGATGACTGACCCTGCTGAAACTGACCCCCCTGAGGGGCACCACTGAATCCACCCTGACTACGAGGCCTCTTAGCCTCCCTCTCCTGACCTCCAACCATATCAATCTGTCGAGCAATGTCGACAACCTCATCAAAGTTAGCACCAGATACTCTCTCCCTGGTCATAAGCAATCGAAGCTTAAACCCGAGGCCATCTATAAGCCAACTCGGAGAACCGCATCTCGTACTGTGTAACAGACATCTCACCCTGGCGAAGCTGCTCAAACTATCTGCGCAGCTCCTCTCTGCTGGACTCCGGTACAAGCTTCTCCAGAAAGAGAACGGTAAACTACTGCCAAGAAAGGGGCGCTGCGCCAACCGGCCTACACCTATCTTAAGCCTCCCACCAATTAAGTGCAGCCCCAGAAAATTAGAAAGTAGTGAATGAGAACCCACTGGTCTCCAGAATACCCGCGGTCTGAAGCATCCTCTGACATTTGTCCAAGAAACCCTGTGCATCCTCACCCTCAGCACCACTAAATGACGGAGGTTGGAGTCTCCCAAACGTCTCCAATCTGCATTGCTCATCCTCTGGCATCACAGGAGCTATATAGTCCTGAGTAGCTGCAACCGGCTGGGCTGGAGGTGCTCCCGGCGTCTGATGTCCCTGAATAACCTGCTCAGGTGTGCGGGCGGCGGGAGTCTGAGTGCCTCCCCCGGTGACTTGGGACACCATAAATATTCCAAGTGGCGACTCTTAAATAAATAAAAATAATCACAATTCGAATAATGTCACTTAAATTGGAAAAATTCTCTTATCCCATCCCTTGGGAAAAAAAGAGGTGTGACAAAATCTACTTCATTAACCATTAGGCCAAACATTCAGTCATTTTTTTTAAGAATAAAGTACGTGTATTTTATTATATCGTTGAAGGAAGAAGCAATTTTTTCTTCTTCTTTTTCTATGCTTTAATATTAGGTGGTCCATTTCAAGCTTTTATCCATATAGACAAGAGGAGAGTAGAGCCATGAATTTGCATATTGTAGAAGGGGTATTATCACTTCTAATCCGCGTCAGAAACTATTTACATTCAGTAGCTGAAAAAGTGTATAAAATTTATATAATTTTGTGTATAACATACATAATGTATATATATACAAAAAATATACAAAAAAATATATACTTTTGACTATTATTTTGAGCACGGCTATACAGTGTAATTTTCCTATGGTAGAAAGGGTCCAAAATATTAGAGAGTAAGTCATTTCGTCATAAAGGCCCCTTGTTTGTGTGTTGTGACAGCCTGAGAAGCCATACTATCCTCTCGTGCTATCTTTAGATGCAGTTTTTATGTATTTTTTTCTTTTTTTTGAATTGTTTTTTTCGTCGTCTATTTACCTCCACCCTTTAATTTAGGGATTTTGTGGGTCGTGTTAAAGATCTATTAAAAAAGGGGAAGCGTTTCCCCATCATATTTTTTTTTTTAATCGTCAGTAAA